CGGGGCAGAGGCGGAACTACAACTCTGGAAGCCGAGGGGACGCGGTGACGAGAAACTACAATTCCCGGCAAGCGTGGGTTGGTGCCGTGGAGGCTGCTGGGAGAGTGGGTCTCGTCGCTCTTCCCCAATTGCGTGGGGACTGCGGCTGACCCAGTGTTACTGCAAAACTGAAGTCGCAGAGTAATGATGTTGTGAAGTCGCCGCCCGTCCCTGCCACGCCCGGGGCGGTTACCAGCTGCGACGGCGGCAGCTTGGCTGCTGCTCTGAGGCTGCCGCCGCTTTAGAAGCTTCTCCCTGAGGGAACGCGGGCGGAGGGCAGAGGAGTCCGGGCCATTTTCGTGAGTAACCTTCCGTGCACGACCCGAACTCGCCTTTGCCACCTTCCCTGGAACGCGGTGGAGCCTTCCAGCCCCGCGCTCTTCCCGGCCCTCCGAGGTCACGCGCGGACGCCCGAGCCCAAGCCTGGGACCGGAGGGCAGGGTCCGCGCCGGGTCCCCGCCCCGCGGTGGGAAGTGGTTTGTTTCCCGAGTGTGGGGTGGTAGTGGTGGGCGCTATGCTCTGGCCTCCGGGTTCACCCCTCTTCTGAGCCTTGGCGGCCTCTGCGGGACGCTATCCATCGGACCCGCCAACCCTGAGCGATGAGCGGCTTTAGTGTCCCGCGGCTAAACCTGAAGCCTCGGTCGCCATCTGTGATGAGAACGAGAGGAGAGGGTATTGGAAAGAGCTCTTTTCATGTTGAGTTGAGTTGGACTTTGCGATTGAGTTTGAGCCAGACACCACACGTCTTTCAAAAGAGACGGTTGGCTTTAGTTTCAAGTGCAAATAATGGATATTGGCAGATGTCCTTTTCAGTGCTGGCTTAAAGATAATCTCTCAAACACTTAAAGATTTCTGGGTCATAATAGTGGATGGACTCAGTTACTTGTCCACAAACCTTTTATTTAAATCTGCAGTTTCTGCGCCATAAAATAAAACAAAAAACCAGTAACCGTTTACTGGCTATTCATCAAACTAGAGAGGACCATAAGGGGTAAAATGAAATGGACTCTTTCAGTTTTTAAAAAGATATATATTTCAGTAAGTTTTTTCCCTACCTTCAAATATTTGCTGTAGAATTGGATGTGTCTGAGTTACAGTGGTCTCCAAATAGCATGCAAAGGGTGGTGACCTGACACTTGAAAACAAATTGTCAAGGACATTTGGGGGTGAGAAAGGACAGGGATGAAGACACTTTATCATCTCAGCGTTCATCCAGTTTTCTATTTTTAAAATTAAGTAATGTTCAGCATGTCTCAGACATTCAGCAAGCACACACTTTAAGGAAGGCAGTGTTTTGCTATTTTACAGGTTTTTATTCTTATGATGGAAGGGGTCAGAAAGAACAAACATTAGAATACTTTCAATCTGCTGGGCACCAAGTTATGAGCTCTGCATACATTCACTCAATCACTATAATAACTCTTTTGCACTAAATCTGAGGCTCAAAGATGTTAAGTGGAGATTCAAACCTAGATTTGCCTTGCTTCAGAGTCACAGGTCAGGTAACTTGTATCTACTTCAGAAATTATCTTGAATGCATTTATTTACCAGTGTTATTTCCCAGTACTGGTTTCTACATACTTTGGACATATAGAATAAGTCCAGACCCCTACTTTTGAACAAGTTGTTCTCTCTGCTTGCAATTCCTGTGCCCCAGAGAGCTGCTCATTAATATCCTAAAAGCGCATTCCAAATCCACCCCAGTTTACTTATGTAAGACACAGGATTGGATTTTCATCTTAAAGGTCCTTTCTGGTTCAAAGTTTTAGTGAATCTGCAACTGGAAATATGAGCCAAGGAGCATTATTGTCCACTGAAAATGCTTAATATCTATAGATGTTAAGAGTAGAAAAACTTGTTTCTTAAAATTTTTATTTCAATACCCATACATGTTAAAAAACAATATAAGGAATGAGACAGATGATAATATATTATTTCATGTTTATTATGAGCTCTGTTACATCATCTGTACCAATTTTTGAACCTCTTTAGTTACCATCCTGTTTAGTTGGTAAGAAATCAGAGGCATTAAAGTAGTACATTTAAAATGACTTAATAATGGAAAGAACTAAATTATACATGGTTTCCTGTCATTTGTCCAGACCTGCAGTGTTCATGTATTAATAGGAAACATATAATGCTTACTATGTGTTAGATACCCATCTAAGTGTTTTACCTCCATTAACTTATTCTCAAAGAAGTACAATGAGATAGTTTTAAAAATTATATTAATGGCTAAAAACATTATATAAATTTCAGGTGTACAACTTTATAATACAACATCTATACACTCTATTGTGTGGTTACCACCCAGAATCTAGTCTCTTTCCATCACCTTGTATTTGAGCCCCTTTACCTTCTGTGTTCTCCTCCATGTCCCTTCCCTTCTGGTAATCACCATCCTGTGTCTGTATCTAGGAGTTTGTTTTGTTTGTTCATTTGTTGCTTTTTGTCTTATAGCCCACATATGAGTAAAATCATGTGGTTCTTGGTTCTTGGCCTTTTCCATCTGATTTACACTAGCTATAAGTGAAATGCAAATCAAAACCACAATGCGATACTACCTCACACCCATTAGAATGGCTCTTATCAACTAGGCAAAGTAAGTGCTGGAGAGGATGTGGAGAAAGGGAGCCTCATACACTGCTCGTGTATGTAAATTGGTGCAGCCACTATGGAAAACAATATGGAGGTTTCTCAAAAAATAGAGCTACCATAGGACCCAGCAATCCCTATTCTGGGTATCTACTTGAAAAATTTGAAAACACTTATTTGTAAAGATATGTGTTCATTGTGGCATTATTTATAGTAGCCTAGACATGGAAACAACCCAAGTGTCCTTCAACAGATGATTGGATATAGAAGATGTGGTATATACATACACTAGAATACTAAATCATAAAAATTAAAAAAAAAATGAAATATTGCTATTTGTACAACATGGATGGATATTTAGACTATCATGCTAAGTGAAATAAGTCAGATGGAAGAGGTGATTTTATAGATAGGCAACTGAAACAGAGGATTAGTAAACATACCCAAGGCCATTCAGCTCCTTAGTGGCGGAACTGGGTGTCAACCCCAGGCAATCTCAGATTTTTTACTCTTAACATTTATTGAGTACCTACTGTGTACCAACCCCACAGCTGGTTGTTTTTATTATAATTAGGTCATTTATCTTTACAACTACCTTATATAAAATGGAAGTTCAGCATTTAGTGCCTTGCCCAAAGTCACAAGATAAATGGTAGAGCCACGACTTGAACCCACATTTGCCTGTCTTCAAGACTGTTTTTTTATACTTTCTCTCAATAATCAAATCTTTATTAAATACTTTCAAGGAGCAAGACACTGCTAAGTGCTAGGGATTTAGTCTCTGCTCTTAAGAAATACAGTCTGAAAAGAGAGGCAATTGTGATAGTGTAGTAATAGGATAGCAGCATACAGAGAACATCATACAGAGGTACTATGGGAACACGGAGAAAGGGCACTGAAATCTATGGTGGGAATGCTTGGGCCAGTCTCGGAAAAACAAATGGGAATTAGCCTAGATGAAGAAAAGGAGAAGGAGTTGTTATGGGCTAGATTCTGTCCCTCCAAAATTCTTGTTAAATATTGAAGCCCGAATCCCCATGACCTCAGAATGTGACTATATTTGGAGGATAGGGCTTTAAAGAAGTGATTAAGTTGAAATGAAGCCTTTAGGGTGGGTCATAATCTATTATGACTGCTATCCTTATAAGAGGAACTTTGGACACAAAAGGAGACACCAGGGATGTGTGCACAGAGAAAAACCATGTGAGGATACATGGAGAAGGTGGCTATCCGAAAGCCTAAGGAGAAACCAAATCTGCCAACACTTTGATCTTGAATTTCTAGCATCCAGAACTGTGAGAAAATAAAATTCTGTTACTTAAACTACCCAGTTTGTGGTATTTTAATAAGGCAGCCCTAGCAGATCAGTACAGGAATGTTCTATGTGAAAGAAATGACGTGCCGAAAACCTTTTAGGTGTGGCCAGGTGATTAGATTTTGTGGTACGTGGTGTTGAGGGATGAAGCTAGAGACTGGGCTGGGACCATATTAGGGCATTTTATATGAGGTGATAAGGAGGTTAGTCTTTATCTTGAGGGGATGGGATGAAGGTTTGTAGCAAGGGGAACAGCGCTGCATTTTAGAGTGATTTAGAATACTCTGTGGGCCTGCGGAGGGTAAAGGTACGGGTATGACATGACTGGTGGCAAGGAGACTGGTTCAGGTGTCTGTTGCCGCAGGAAGCTGAACTAAATTTCTCGGGACATCAAATGTCAGACTAGAACAGAACCATTGTTAAGATAAGGAAGATTCTTAAAGGGCACAGATAATCTTTAGGGCATACATAAGAAGATTGAGGAAGAACTTGTACCTAGAGACTGACTTTGCTTTTGACATTTTGCTTTTCATAAAGCTTTATTCAACTATCACAAAATACTCATTGTTTTTCCGCTGCATTTAAGAGAAACTTTATGGTGGTTACACTGTTCTAAGCCAGGTCCTATACTTGATCTTAGTCAAAAGGCCAAGAAGAAATACGCCAAGTCCTCTGACAACCTCATGAAATATCTACTATTACTATCTCCATTTTATACATACAGATATAAAGTACAGAGAGTTCCAGTAACTTGCCTATGGTCACATAGCTAATAAACGGCAGTGTTAAGATTCAGACTTAAGCTGTCTGTCTTCAGAATCTGTGCTCTTGGCCATTATACTATGCTGTTACCATATATTATTAAGATTGTCAACTACCTATAAGAGGAGGAGGGAGGAATACAAAAATAAATTGGGTATGTTTTCCATAGGGAGTATAGTTTATCAGGGGAGATAAGGAACAATCATAAGTTTTTGTTTTTTTAAGTGTTTTAAAGAGAAGTGAAATATTGAGAGGCCATGATTATTGGGGCTCTGGGAAAACTTAGTGGAAAAATGCATTTGAACTGACGTGTGAAGAATGGCTAGACTTTGGATATGCTGAAGGGAAAGAGGACTTTAAAGGTAGAAGCAGTAGCATGAAAAAGGTATAGGATTGGGAATTTCCTGGTGTGTCTAGGAAACCAGTAAGTACAGTCCTTTGTTTTGGCTGGAATATATTGTGTGGTTGGAGAAGCCATTTTGGGAGATAGGAAAACAGCAAATGTCTGGGAAAGGGAACTCTTAGGGATTGAGGAGCAAGGAAAATTGTGAGGTTTTAAGCCAAATGATTTAGGTGTATACTAAGTGTAATGATCTTTTAGGAGAGGGTAAAGTTCATCTAGTCCCA